CCCCAAAAAACAATATACCCAGCTGCCCTGTTATTGTTATTGTTATTACTCCCTGGGGTTTATACCAGTGGGTTCGAATCCCGTTCGGACTCAGTTCTGCCCCAGCAGAGTTTCAGAGAAGCATGGAAGAGTGTTTGTGGGGTTTACGTGATGATGTTTGCCTACCTTACCTTGATGACAATTTAGTTCATAGTCAATCGTTCAAGAGACGCACGTTTCAGAACCTTTCCACATGGTGCATTCAGTGACATCCAGTAAATACCAGTACTCTCAGAAATGAACAATCTAACTAAAACATACACCCAAAATAAAGTGTGGGGTGTCTTTGTACAGTCAAATACACAAAAACAGTAACACAACTAATAATCTCATTTGAACAATGTCTGTATTTCTCACATTAGCTTAGTTTTTAGCTAGTGCTTTGCTAGCATTTTAACACATTTACTAACATTTTGTGGTCTTTATTAGCATTTTGCTACTTTTAACTTTAGTAAATAATTTACAGCTTTTTGTAATTGTTTGCAGCTTTTATCTGACATTTCTGCTACTTCTGAATTTTAGCTAATGGTTTATGCTTTTGGTTAGCATCTTGCTGCTTTCAGCTCCTGTGTAGCAACTTTTGTATTTTAGCTAGCATTTGCTTTTTTCCTTTGCATTTTGCTGCATTTAGGTATTATGTAATCGTTTACTGTTTTTTTCTACAGTTTTGCTGCTTTTAGCTAACATATTGTTTTGTTTTAGAACAGCTAGGGTTGAATTTGTGAGCCATCCCATAATGTTACACAACATCTCCACAGTTTTAAAAGTGTTTGTCGACAGCTGTGAGTTATAATCTATTTCTTTTGTTTTGTGGATGAATCAAAGTTTGCCTGAACTGAACAAAGGCCGACCTTGATGACATAATTCACTAAGTGCTTTCTGTAGTTGTTGTATTTTTTTCCTCCTCGCTGCAGCACCTTGGCCACGTCCTGATGATGAAGGTACGGACCGACTGTCAGCCCGGCCGTACATCCTGGATCCACCCACTGCGACGGACTTTAAGTCTCACATGAATAATTCGTCCATCTGGGAGCCGTCTGTTTAGCATAACTGACTCATCTATCTGCGTGTGAAGCTCAGGGCCGGGCTAACTTTGAACACTGTTAAATCTTTCACAGATTTTCGGMTCTTATTTATTTATTTCTAAATTTACAAAGTAAATTAAGGCTTGCTGTGCTCATAACCACACTATACAATCTGTGAAACAGCCAGCCTCTGATATATGAACAACTGAACCATTAAGGAGTAAAAAAATAAGATGTATGACACTCCATAGGTTTCCATATGGTTTCAATGCAGAATAATTACTCTGTAATTGCCTTGAATGTTTGCTCTTTTCGACCATTTGCTCCAGCAGCTGTCATCGCCCAGGCATCTGTTGGATATCGCCGCGGCTCACACCTTGGTCCCTTTAAGCCCAGCCAGAGGAACGTGGTAATTAAGCAACACATAAAAACTACAGGCAGCAGCTTCTGGGGGCCTCCCAGTGGAGTGTTGGCTCCCCTACCCACTGGTGCGTCCAAATAAAAGGCACATCTTCAGGACTTTATGGGATCCTGGCTCACATTGTTTTCTAAGTTTCTTGAATAGAGGCAGATGTGGCTTCTTTCACTGCAGTTTGAGCTAAAACTAACAAACYTCCCTTAAATTTATCAAAAACTAACTTTTCTCGAAGGAATCTATATCACCCACCACCTTGTATGTAAACACAAAATTGGCACGATGTGTTAAACTCAAGGTCCATGGGCCAAACGTGGCCTGCCATGCCATTTTACATGGCCCGCGAGACCTTCAAAGATGTAGTGCCTATATACAGCAGGTAAAATAAGTATTGAACACGACACCATTTTTCTCAGTAAATATATTACTAGAGGTGCTAATGACATGAAATTTTCACCAGATGT